AGGACCCGGGACATTTGGGCAACAGCCTCGAACCCGTGAACCACTTCAAGACTTCAAGACATCTGACCTGAACCACCAGGCGACAGCCTTTCTACGTCCTATAATTTAGATTTGATTTTGAATTTGAGCAGGGTGGGGTGCATTTAGTAACGATCCTCATGGCTCCTCCCACATTTGGCGATTTGGGGAAAGATGCGAGAGAAATCCTTAGTAAACAGTATTATTTCGGGCTGTTGAACGCTAAATTGGCATCTACCTTCCGGGATTTCAAAATAACCAACAGTATCAACCAGAACTTCAAGGCAAAGACGGTACGCGAGTCCAGAATTGAATTATTTTCGAGCACGTGGATAACAGATTGGTGCGTCTTTTGAGTCAAAGCTGAAAATTCCCGAATATGGAACCACCTTAACGAAAAAGTGGAGCTCTGAAAATGTTATGGATTTTGAAGTATGTATAGAAGACAAGATCTACAAGGGACTGAAACAAACCTTCAAATATTCACGAGAATTATTTACCAGGTTTGACGTTTATCTGTATTTATCATTTTAGTGCGTCCACCGCCACATTAATGAATTCCCTCAAGGCGGAGAACTACAATCTCCAAATGGACATGTTTTTCAAGTCGGCTGTCCCAGATTTGACACCGTCCCTCGTTATCAGGTCAGTAGTTCACCCACGCTAACGTATTACATGTGTATGATAGCGATGGGCATAATGTTCAGCTATATTTCATCCGCTTTAACCAAATCACACTGGCAAATTGGTATCAAGGCCATTTACCATTGAGTTTGTGGTTCGATTACTAAACGCGTGCTTGCTAGCTAGCTTTTCCAGATGATTTCCACTGTATTTTTCTCTGCCAATGGATAGCAAATTTAGCCAGGAAATTAAAAGTTGCCTCAAAAATACCATTAAATAACCATCAGAGGCAAATCGAGGGATTTCTGATTCATGGTCGAATCAGACGACTTTAGTTTACAAGCTTGTACTTATTCGGTCGGTAAGGTTTTCAGAAAATGCGTCGCGGTGGGTTGTCCAATTTTATTTCACTGAGCCGATTTATTAAGAGTTCATTCAGTGTTCTCTGCGTTTACATGTTTACATTCATTCGAAATCGTTAGCGATATAAGCAAACATCCATTGAAGAAACAACTCCTTTTGAATGTGGGACGAAGACATCTAGTAACAGTCATCTTCCTTGTATAATCGAGTTGGTGGACAACTGGTAGTTCGTCTAGGATCCAAAATCCTGATTCCAAACCAACCAAGAAGAAGGGTATGAACTGCACGCACACCTTCGTTGTGGTAGTGGTCACCGGCTCATTCGATAGCGCACTTTTAGGTAATCCTACCAACTTCACCATGATAGCGGTCTACACCCCTCTGTACCATCCGACAGATTAGTGAAGGACGAGTTGTACAGCAGTCTTCAGGAGGTAGTAAATCTGGTCCTCAAGAGAGATGTAATCATCGAAGCGGGAGACTGGAATGCTCGAACAGGTGGATAAGGATCTTTAACAAAACATAATTCGAAAATTTGCATTACGCCATCGCTGCGAAAACAGTCATAAGCTAATTAATTTCTCCGATTTTAACCGGTTGTCTTTTACTAACAGGTTGCCAGCACCCTAGGAAGCAAATTATTACCTGATACTCCAACACGGCATAAAAGCCCACCAGATCGACTATATATTGTTACGGTCACGCTGGATCTCATCAGTAGAAGACTGTAGATCGTATCGCGGTACCGAAGCGGGCAACAGAGGTGGCTCTGGTCATATGCTGGTTCGTGCGAAACTTCGCCTTCGGCTGAGTACTCGTGTTAAGACCACCCCTCCAAGTCGCATCAATGTGGGCCCATTAGCGGGAAATCAAAAACACTGATGCATGAAATTGCAAATGAGTTTGCCCCACCCGTCAACGTATCAGACTCCATTGATACACATTGGCCTGAGATAAAAGCGGTACAAGCCTCATTCCACAAGCGTTGTACCACGAAACACTGCTACAAAGATTGGATATCAGAAGAAACCATCCCTCTCTCAACCCTGGTCAGGGACCCCCATCTAGCTGACCACGGCGATTACCAGCGACTCAGGCGCGAAGCAACCTGCTGCTCAAAAACAGATGGACGCAACTACTGGAGTGAAATAGGGATCAAGATGGAAACCGCAGCCAGTGCATGCCACTCCAGCGACCTTTTTGGCCTCATACGATCAGCGTCCGGTAGAAGGTAATCTTTACAACCTACGCGACTCCATCGGGGGCTGATCTCCGATATCGACGGTAGAATGACTAGATGGGTAGAGCATTTTAGTCAACTTCTCGGTCATCCGCTGGGCAATCCGGCGGATATTCATCCTGATCGACTGCAATCCTCCAGCGGTAGAGGAAATAAACGCAGTGATCGGTCGCTTGAAGTCTGGTAAGGTCCCTGGTGAGGACGGAACTCCGACAGAAATTTATAAGAAATGCTTTCCGGTGGTCATCAAGCTTCACTCTCTCGCTCTATTTGGGAGACCGAAACATGTTCAACTAATGGGAATACCTCGGTTTTGCTTCCGTTCCTCAAGAACGACGACAAGACACTGCGAGAATTATCGGAGTATCAGTCTGCTAGACGTGGCTGCAGAAGCGTTTGCCCAGCTCGTGCTTAATCGTCTTACTAAAGTGGGGCATGCAGATACTCGGCCAAATCAAGGAGGTTTCCAACCTGGCAAACAATGTATCGATCAGATTTTCATCCTAAGGCGAACTCTGCAACACCGATACAAGTTGCAGCGCCCCACCGCTCCGTGTTTCATTGACTTTCGCGCTGCATTCGATTCAGTGGACCGCGAGTCACTGTGGAAGATAATGCTTGCAGATGGCGTCCCTGCAAACTTGGTCAATATAGCAAAATCGTATTACACTCAAACCAAAGCCCGTATCTGTGCCTACGGCGAAGAATCTCACCCCTTCAATCTGAGATCAGGGGTAAGACAAAGATGCCCGCTATCTCCAGTGTTGTTCAACTTCGCCGTTGATTGGATTCTGTGTCGGGTAATGGAAAGTTACCAAGGCGTCCAAGGTTCCGCGAACTGCTGGATTACTGACCTCGAATTCGCC